TATATTGGTACAAATAAAGTCGAGGTTTGTCAGACTAACTTGCAGTTTTGCTGATTTCGATTGAGATATTTTTGTCATATTTCAGACTAGTGGAAAGAAAACATTTAACCCTCAAACCGTATTCACTTTATAGCCCTTAATCCTGTAATTGTGGACAAATGTGGGCACAGAGGAATTTTTATTCTTTATAAATGTTATATCACTGTCTTCGATAAAGTTTTGTCTATTCATTTATGGTGTTTTCTTTTATTTTGGGGGTATTGTTGAATTTATTTACTTCAAAAAGTACCAAATTTTCAATGTAAATTATTTCTATGTTAATGAATTGCTATGTAGTTTTATTATTTTTTTTAACTACATTAAAATATCATTCCAATAAGTTCTTAGAGCTAAAACCTAAAGATGAAGTGACTTTGCTGTCACCTATTTTGGCTTATTTTAGAATGCTCTAAATTACAGTTTTTCCCATTCATTTCTATGGGTGCCTATTTTCGACCCAAATACAAGATTGAGGAGTTTGTTTGCTTTTTCACCCACTTAACATTGTAGAATTGAGTCAAAAATTGTGTGTTCATGACTCGAGGCAAACTTAGGAAAAGTAGCCAAGTCTTGTACCGCTCAGATCAAGGCAAGTATTTAAAAAAAAAATAAATCAAAATTATTTTGCCCACATTTATCCAGAATACGGTTTTAGGGTTAAGTGTTGCGTCTGTAGATTTGACATCAGTCCATATCTTTAAAAGCAGATATCCCCACTTTACATAAACATTACAGTTTTATATAATTTTATTCCTAATTAACATGATGAAAATGTCTGTTCTGATTCTTATTTTCTGATTCATTTCCCCCCAAAAAACTCTAGTATGTCAGCAAAATCAAACAAGAGTTTTTAATCTGGCTTCATCCAGTGATCAGATTATGCAAATGAGTATGTATTTGATTAGATAATGCCCAATTTGCATATTTAAACAACATCAGAAATGTGTAATACAAAACAGTTGCCTTAAAGGGAACCTATTATGCAAAATTCACTTTTATATTGTTTTTGAACGTGTCAACAGTTTTTGTGTGTACACAACCACATAATTTTCCCCATAAATCTGAAACAGTGTCTCAGAATGAGATGTGACATCACACATGCTTAGGCTCCGCCCACGACTGCTGACAGACTCCGCCCTGTTTGCAAAGCTCCGCCCCTGAGTGAGCTATACACCTCTCCAGAGCTTTCAGATAAGAAATGTATCTTATTAAATCTGCTGAAGTTATTGGGTCAAGAGCAGTGAGGGATTTTTGAGTTTTTCTTTTGTTTTTGATTCATATTAACAGCATTTACAGCAGTAGGTACTGATGTCTTCACTTTAATACACGGATCTAATATACACATGCAATTCCTTTGCCTGCTGTTTACGTTCACAGACATAACCGATTGTGTTTGTGTGAACTTTGTGTGTTTTTGACTTAACCATGTGTGTGTGTGCGCTCAGAAGACTGATATGACTTATAAACACATGCAGATAATAAACGTGAGCGTGGCCGCAATAGAGATGATGATCAATACCAAACAGACGTTTTAGTTTTTGGCAGATCATCCGAGACGCGAGCTGTAAAGGCTCCGCCCTCTTCTGGATAGGGGGCGGGGACTCAGCAGCTCATTTGCATTTAAAGAGACATGCACGAAAACAGTATGTTTTTCCTTCCACTCAAAAATGGCCATTTACAACATGGAAACAATTATCTGTGATATTTTTTATGATTGATTGTATGGATTTGTTTTATATGGACATATGGTATTTTATTTTATTTTGTTTGTTGTGCTAGTCTTCCCTATTGTGATTTATATCTGTGTAAACCGCTTATGGAAGAACAAATATGGGCGGGGCTTGATTGTATGGTTGTGGTTTGCTATTGGTGGATCTCCTGTGATTGACAGGTTACAGTCATCAGAGAACAGAAGAGATGCTGGAAGTTATTCTGATTCAAGATTATTAACACAGTAATGATGACCATTTAAAGGGCACCTATTATGGAAAATTCACTTTTACATGGTGTTCGAACATATATGTGTGTTGGCAGTGTGTGAGCAAAACCACACTAGAATGATAAAAATCCACCCAGTGGTTTTTTTACAATCTCAATAAATCATATGCACTGCCTCAGAACGAGCTGTTCTGAGATCCAGGTCTTTGTGACGTAGAACGAGAGACAGGGGTTTGATTGACAGTGTGGCTGTGGCCTAGACCCCGCCCTCGGTGATCTGTACACACCATCCTTCATTACCTGTTATGTCTCTTGGAAACATAAGTGTTCTGTCGTGGGTTAATCCTGTTGTTGTAGCTTAAAAGTTAATCCTCAACTGTGGATCGTCATCTACTGTTTGCGATCCACCGTCACATCCAGTAACAGTAAGTGTGTTTTATGATTTTTGAGCAAATAGTCTTTTCAGTCAATGTCAGCCAATTCAACAACAAATGCGTCTAAAGTTGTTGTCGTTGTAGGATGTCTGTGTAGGCTATATAATTTAAACCTTGTTTGTATAGTGTGTAACCACACGTTTATATATATTTAAAGATATTGTATTAAAAACTGCATATACTCTATGTTGTTGTTCTGTATGTTAGCCATCTCCTCACATTTGCCACAAAAGCACCCGTATGACAAGTAAACATGACGCCACAGGTCCCCGTCCCTCGCATAAATGTAATTTCGCTTGTACGTAGCAAACTTTATCACAGTATGTGTATGTAATTTCAAAAAAATTGCGCCAGCATTAGTGTTTATGTGTGTCTGTGTGTGTGTGTGTTGCACATGCCCATCATTTCAAAGGGAACGCGATTACAACGCTAAAGTACATAAATGTATCAAATAACCATACAGAGACGTACTGGTCCATTCTCATTTGTGTTTATTCTGCCGGAGTCTCTTCGTGCTATTTATATATTCCGATTCAAACGTACGCTGAATGACATTCAAAACAGCGCGTCTCTCACTCTCTTAGCCATTCTGCTTACCGACTGCGATAGGTATCAAGTTACGCCCTCATCCAAAGGCAGGGCGGGGATATGCAGCTCATTTGCATTTAAAGCCGTATACCTCCGAAACAGGTCATTTTTAAGCAGGCCCCAAAATGACATTTTCAAATGGTTATAATAAATGAACTGTGGGGTATTTTGAGCTGAAACTTCACAAATACATTCTAGGGACACCAGAGACCAATATTACATCTAGTAAAAAGGGGCATAATAGGTGCCCTTTAAACACTGTGATATTCCATAAAAAAATTAAGAATTGAATTTTGATTTCCAAAAGGTTTTAAAAGTCTTAAATCTGGAACTGAAGTAACAGCAAACACAGAAAGAGCGTGAGCATCTGTGCTCAATGTGTGTGTGTTTTCCGGAGTGATGTTCCGTCTGTGGCATTCCTGTCTCATTCCAGCTCTCTTCCGGATGTCATTCCCACTTCCAGATTCACGGGCCTGTGGATTAGCAGGATTTAGCAAGATGTGTTTCTGAATCCAGCAAAAGCATTGGAAACACAAGCTGTGTTTTCGGGAACCGTTAAACGTCCCGAAGAACGAGATTGTTAGGATGTTTGTGTGTATGAAATGCTTAAGTCACATGTGGGATGTTTCAGGGATCTTCAGACGATGTTCTTCGTGTGTTCTGCATCGTGATTCGCCGAATGCTGAATGTTGTGTGTTTGGACGCAGGTCATGCATGTGGTAGTGGTTGACCTCTTGTTTGACCTTTGAGGACTCAACATGTTCTGGGACGCCACCTGGATAATGTTCAGATTACAACAGAGTACAATGATTCCTGTGTGTGTGTGTGTGTGTGTGAGAGAGAGAGAGAGAGTTTATAGATGGGCTGTTGACACATAAAAAGTCTAGAAAAAAACAACAGCTGACAACAGATTTTCAAATTAATTTATGATGAGTTTACAGTTATAATGACTTTAGTTTGGCAGATTTATTTTGAGGGAAAGTAGACCTTGAAGTGTTTGAAAGTTAGTTGTTAAATAGCTTTATTGCCTTTATTCAAATGGGCTTTTGACACAAAACTGTTATTATTATACAGTTCTTATTACATAGTTGTTATTATTATAATAACAGTTCTTATTATTATATAGTTGTTATTATTATAATGATGTAATATGCACTTAGTTTTATTCTATGGTTATTCTTTAGTAAATATCTGTTGTTTTTGTTGATTTCCATAGTATATATAGTTGCTATATAGTTACTGTTGCATGGATGGACTTTAATGGTAGAATTAATGTTTGCATTTTGAATATCACTGTTGTCTTTACTCAAAAGGCCATAAAAACGCATTGCGTTGGTTTAGACAGCGTAACAGCGTCAGGTCGGTCTGTCAAGAGAACATCACCAGGCTTTCGTAATTGAGCTCATTTGATTGTGACTGGATGAGGTCACAAGACCTTAACAATATTTGCAGTGTGTGTATTTGTGTGTGTGTGTGTGTGTGTGGCGGCGCTCCTGCCCGTCCCAGTGCATCTAAAGGCAGGACTCACTCAAGCATGTTCCTCTATATAATGAACAGCCTGTAGACGAGTGTGTGTGAGACTTTGAGAAGGTCTTTATTCTGCTAATGCCAGATTTCCATGCCCGCTTGAGTCAAAGGAGCCGAACCGCTTGTCGTCTCGTTCCCTCATGTTTCTTTGTTCTCGCTACATCAGTAAAACGACAACACAAGTCAAACATCTTCATTCTTTCATTTAACACAAATAGATTCCGACCGTTTGTTCGTCAAAGCGTCCGACTAGCGCTAGCGACGATAACCGAGCTTGTGATGTTTGAAGGTCTTTGAATGTGTGTGTGAGGCTCACACCAGCTGGCCGTGTGGGAACTCGCTGGTTTCGTCCCATCGTCGCCCGTCCTTTCGGGTTTAAAGGACGTTATCAGAAGATCAACGGTGTTTAAATGTTTAGATTGAGTCGAGTAATGAATGATGTGCTAATGATCTGTCTTTCGTCTCTTGTAACAGGGAAAACGGAGCGAGCGTCGTACTCTTACTCACGAGACTCCAGCGTTCACGGCTGTCAGGTAAGAGTTTCTGTAATTGCTCATTAACTCAAGATGTCTCAGATATAAAAGCACTGGGTATCACTGATAAACATAACTTGTTTAAACACATTTTAAGTCAATGTTTCTGCTACTGCTCTGTACGACTCGCCTGTTATTATCAACTAAAATCTACTTACTATTGAACCCAACATTCATTTGACATTTGACATTTAATTGAAGTAAATTTCACTTAATTATATTTAATTACACATATAGAATTAAGTAACATCTATTTAACTAAGGTAAGTAAATTTAAACAAATTAACTTTTTATTTAAACAATATAAAGAGCAGTTTTAAAGAGCAGTGTTGCTAACTATTTTCAAATGAAAGTCGCTAACGTTTTCCGTAAAAGTCGCTAAATGTCGCTATTTGACGTCATACGTCAATTCGCATATTAATGACGTCATTGCGTCGTACTTGCTTTAATATAATATAATATAGCTAAATGTCAAATTCTCATTTCCTATTTTTTTATTTATTTTTTGTTAGACAATAAAACGAGTAGCTATATAGTGGACGATTACTTTTGTTATAGGCCTATGTGGAAAATTATCTGAATTGAGAGAGTTCGGGAATGAAATAACCTTTGAGATAGTTAGTATTACAAGTAATACGCACTAGAAATGAAATGAAAATGGTCAAACTAAATTCTTTAAATTTAAACAAAAGAAAAGCAGTTGAGTGTAGTGATGGCCGGTTCGTGAACGAATCGTTCTTTTGAACCGGTTCTTTTTAGTGAACCGGTCGAACCAGTACACTAAATCGGACTGAATCGTCCGAAACAGTTCGCGTCTTGCGTCAGCGCTAATCCACAAGTTACTAAAGTTACTCACTTTCAGACATGCCTGACAGTCCCTCTGATTCGAAATAAACCGAAATAAACCAATATCCAGAAGTACATTTTATTCCAGTAACTCAAAAAGTTCACTGAACGGAGACATATGTTGGTGCTGAGAGAAGTGATGAGCATGAGCAGCTGATACTGCGCATGCGTGTACTACCGAACGTACAGGTACAGTATAGCGGTCGGATAACCAGTACGAACTGTTTCTTTCGGACACGTTCGACATACAGAGAACTGATGAGTTGATGAGCTGAGCATGCGTGCATTTTTTTCTGAGGAACGAAATGTACGTTTCCATGTCTTTAGTTGAACATCAGTAAGTGTAACAAAATAAAACATTTTTAAACATGTTTATCACATAATTACTGTACTATTTTGTATAACGATTGGAAACAATGATTGGATTCTAAAACTGTTAAACTAAACATGTATTATTATACTAATATAATATTTTCAGGAACTGCTCATTTAATTTCTAAATAACAATATAAATCTTTGATGTAAACTCTTGCCAAGGTTTTAATGGTGCACTGCTTAGTAAATGTTTATAATGTGTTAACATAACGAATTAAACATATTAAACATATATGTTTAATTCGTTATGTTAACACATTACAAACATGATGTATATATGTTACGTATATAGGCTTTTTTAGTTTTGACTGTATATTCAGGTTTCAGCTCAGCACACAGCTATGCTATGGTTCTCGAGTCGAGAACTGGTTGTTGCAGTTCTTGAATCACTAGTACAGAACCAAGAACTGTTTCTTTGCTGGAGCTGGAGATACTGCGCGTGCGTGATCACCGTCTCTGAACAGAACTTTCTTTCGGCCGGCTGATCCTGTGCTGATACATGAGCATGCAGTAGTACGGGTGAACCCAGGACTTAAATGAGAGGGCGAATCGGCGAAATGTAAGTTTATTTAATAACAAATAAAATGATGAAGACCATTTATGCATTTTAGATATTTAAAACATGTAAAACATCCGCAATAGCGCATCGCCTAGGCTGCAGCAGGTTTGTTTTCAAAATGTAAATGTATGAAACTTATCCAAGATGATTATGACGATGTGTACTATTATTTAACTGAAGTTATGATTAAAAATGCCTTTAATTTGAAGTATTTTTATCCGCCGGCATGATAGAATTGACGTCATTACGTGATGACGTAAAAGAACTGGTGAACCGGTTTTTTGAACCGGTTCATTAAAACGCACTGTCCGAAAGAACCGGTACGCGGAAAAGAACCGGACTTCCCATCACTAGTTGAGTGATAAGTACGAAAATGTCGCCTAAAGGGTCTGAAAAGTCGCTTAAAATAGCGAAAAAGGCATTAAGTTGGCAACACTGTAGAAACATCAAAGTAAATAATTCAATAGATATTGTATAGATTAGTGATGGCCGGTTCGTGAACGAATCGTTCTTTTGAACCGGTTCTTTTTAGTGAACCGGTCGAACCAGTACACTAAATCGGACTGAATCGTTCGAAACAGTTCGCGTCTTGCGTCAACGCTAAACCACAAGTTACTAAAGTTACTCACTTTCAGACATGCCTGACAGTCCCTCCGAATCGAAATAAACCAATATCCATTAGTACATTTTATTCAGTAACTCAAAAACTTCACTGAACGGAGACATATATTGGTGACGAGAGAAGTGATGAGCACGAGCAGCTGATACTGCGCATGCGTGCACTACCGAACATACAGGTACAGCGGTCGGATAACCAGTACAGAACCGAGAACTGTTTCTTTCGGACACGTTCGACACACTGAGAACTGATGAGTTGATGAGCTGAGCATGCGTGCATTGTTTTCTGAGGGACGAAATGTACGTTTCCATGTCTTTAGTTAAACATCAGTAAGTGTAACAAAATAAAACATTTTGGAAACATGTTTATCACATTACTGTATCACTGTATTATTTTAACGATTGGAAATAATGATTGGATTCTAAAACTGTCAAACTACTAAACATTTATTATTAAATAATATTTTCAGGAACAGCTCATTTAATTTGTAAGTAACAATATAAATCATTGATGTAAACTCTTGCCAAGGTTTGGTGCACTGCTTAGTAAATGTTTATAATGTGTTAACAAAACGAATTAAACATATATGTTTAATTCGTTATGTTAACACATTATAAACATGATATATATACACTGCATAGGCTACAGAAGGCTATATTGGAGACCGACATGCATCGATTTAGTTTTGTCGACTGTGTATTCAGGTTTCAGGTCAGCACACACAGGCCTATGCTATGGTTCTCGAGTCGAGAACTGGTTGTTGCAGTTCTTGAATCACTAGTACAGAACCAAGAACTGTTTCTTTCGGACACGTTCGATACGGAGAACCGATGAGCTGGAGATACTGCGCATGCGTGATAGCACCGTCTCTGAACAGAACTTTCTTTCGGCCGGCTGATCCTGTGCTGATATACGAGCACGCAGTAGTACGGGTGAACCCAGGACTTAAATGAGAGGGCGAATCGGCGAAATGTAAGTTTATTTAATGACAAATAAAATGATGAAGACCATTTATGCATTTTATATATTTAAAACATGTAAAACATCCGCGTTAGCACATCGCCTAGGCTGCAGCAGGGTTCGTTTTCAAAATGTAAATGTAAGAAACTTATCCAAGATGATTATGACAATGCATACTATTATTTAACTGAAGTTGTGATTACAAATGCCCTTTAATTTGAAGTATTTTTATCCGCCGGGATGATAGAATTGACGTCATTACGTGATGACGTAAAAGAACTGGTGAACCGGTTTTTTGAACCGGTTCATTAAAACGAACTGTCCGAAAGAACCGGTTCGCGGAAAAGAACCGGACTTCCCATCACTAGTATAGATTTTATAATAGAAGTAAAATGGCAGTTGAACACACTGAGACCTCAATACTTGGTGCACAATACACAATGACGGTAACATTCGATTGATTGATTGTTTTTTTTTTAGTGTGAATGTGTCATTTTGAGTTGAAAATGAATCCAGATGTCACAAAATGTCAAGATACCAAACAAAAGCAACGATAAAACAGTGTATAAACAGCTGGAAAACATTGAAAAATTCAACCTTGTTATTTATTCATGCCCCAGTGCATGATGGGAACACCAGTATCAGAAAAGTTGAGTAGGTTCTACTTAATTTTATATTGTTGATATTTACGCTTTAATTTCTAAAGCTTGAATTGATTATTATAAGATTTACTTTGTTTCATTTGTTTTTGTTCTTGTCTGAACTAACATTTCCATGTAGAAATGACTTGTTTTGTGTGTAGCATTTACTTCAGCACAGAATCATTTTGATCAGTGAGCTGTAAATCAACGCAAGTAAGATGGTTTGATGAGAAATGCATGAATGAATGAATGAATGAATGAATGGACATTGAGACACTTTTTTTAAATTCTCACTATTAACTAGTTACTTATTATCATGCATATTACTATGATATTGGCTGTTTATTAGTGCTTATAAAGCACATATTAATGCCTTATGACAGGGTTCGTACACGGTGCTTAAAATTAATTTGAGTTTTGGAAATTTATGGGAAACCCTTGAAAACAGACATATATGTCACATTATATATATATTATGTCACATATTTATGAAATGTACTTGAAAGTGCTTGAATTATTGAAAGACAATATACAGTATGGGAAATTAGTGTTTAATTTTCTTGATTAAAACTATTTTTTTCACACTAAATGAAAGCTGCAGTCCGCCTGATGTAGATATAGAGCCATTCTGCATGGATATGAGTTTGATATTGCTCATAAATATCTAAGTATATGATACAGCTTTCATTCTTCTGGTCAATTATATATTCATGGGAGAAAAAAATCAGTTTGAACAAGGAAAGCGATATCTTTGTCATAGTATCCTTTCTATGGTTATACAAGTTATACAGTCATTGCATCCGCTGCACTTCAATTGTACCATTTTGTTTATTTTTGTTTATCTATCCTTTTTTAGAATTTGGAAGATAATAAAGACATTGTTTGAGAAGTGATATTTCTGATAAGTCCTTGAAAACCAAAAAAGTAGAGCTTGAAATAAATGTTATTTTACAGTATCTGTACAAACCCTGTTATGAACATATTCTACATCCCTTAATCC